AAAAACACAACAAAAATACCAGGAGCAAACCTTTGATATCAGAAAACAGGAGAGAGCAGAACTGCAAACATCTTTACTTGTATGCATACAATACAATGGGAGTTACTTGTGTTAGGACTGTGGCCTTAAATATATGGTTGTGTAAACAATTGGATTATTTGGCTCTGGGTTCAATAATTATGACTTGCCACTGAAAGAGAATGACTGGGGCAACCAACAGGCCTCTCTGCTTTCACTCAGAAGCAGAATGGATTCTTTGTGCGACTGTAAAACACAGAAATAGACACTATCTTGGCATATCCAAGCTATTTAGATTCCAGAGTACAATACAATGACCTGATACACTGGCTATACATGAAATTGGCCACTGGAATGTGTATTCCATTGTTTACTAATGTTCAGCTACCATTCACTATTCAGGGTCCCCATCATTATGTTTAATACACATTTCACAGTAGCCAAATAAGTTTGCTCTCAAGAGTACTTTGAACAAGAGAACATCAGTCAAACCCGACTCACAGAAAAGTTGAAATACCAATGGATTTTTCATTTTTATTAGCTATATCAGAGAAATATATTTTAAGCCCTGTCAAANTTGCTTGAATCTGACATACAGTACAGGGTGTCCAAACAAGAAGATTGGGGGGAGTAAAGATACGCGGATGGGGGAGTTGAAGTGAAGGCAAGCACATCAGAGCAGGAGGAGGAGATTCTCGCCTAATGACAGTGCTATCCTAGCTGAACAACCACAACTGAGACTACCGAAATTGCCATCGCTAAGTGGTGCTATCATATGAAGTTTTGCTTAATGACCACATCGCTTATTCCACATAGAATATTCAGCTTTCAAATATTGTTCTGAAATTAGAGAACTAAACACCAGCAAATTCTGGTGTTTCCAATCAAAGAGATCAAGCTCCACTAAACATTATTCAAGAAAGAATATCAGCAAAAAAATCATCATCATCATCATCACCAGGTAAAAATGCTTGCTTTATGACTTATCTGCTCTGGCATACATAATTTCTTTCCTTTCTTTTTCTCTTCAACTCCTCTATTTTTTGTGTCTTTTTTTAATTTGGAGAGTGGGTCTCTATCTGTTAATGGGAGCCATTTTAGAAATCAATTATTTTCCAAATTTGGGGATTAAAACTATAGTAAAGTACCTTTCTTTTGCATTTTTCACAGTGGAATGAAAACCTGTTTTTATTATATAGATTAAGATGGCTAAACTCCTAAAAACTGGGGTCACAGGTTATCTCAATTACAATGTTTATACCGCTACTATGCTCCCAGTATAATTTAAAATATTTCTGGACATCCACTAAAGCTAATATTTAGTTTTTGATCACTTTGGTATTTGATCCAGAGAACATTATATATACCATTTTGAGGAAAGAATGCGAAAATTTACTAAATGAAATGCAAACTGTTTTGAAAGCTATATTCCAACATAGCAGTAGGTGAGCAAATTTTTAACTGAGGTTAAAGTTAAGTGTAATTTTCTCAGTGTTCAGCTTCAATCCAAGTTGAAAGTTCACTTTATAAGATATCAGTTTTTTCAAAAGCAACACTGTTATCTACATTTAAATTAGAAAAGTTCTTGAGTTTTGTTAATCTTATTCAGCGAATATAAAAATAATGAAAAACTACATAAAAAGAAGTATCTTATAAACACACACATGTGTCATTTCTTCAGTGTTGTCACATGAAAAGATTTATCGGTACTTAAATATTTACAAAATGTGAGGGGCTGTACTCAGTTCTGTGATATACTATATATATGTGTGTGTCTCTCTGTGTGTGTATATATACACACACACCACACACTATATATGTATGTATGTATATGTTTATGTGTGTGTATACACACACATATACACAATATATATATATATGTATGTATGTGTGTGTATGTATGTGTATGTGTGTATGTGTGTATATGTATGTATATATGTATGTGTGTGTGTATGTATGTATGTATGTGTGTGTGTGTATATATATATATATATATATATATA